TTCATTGTAGAATTTTGCATACCTTCAAATCTGAGTCCTGTTAAATTGATGCAGTGGTGTCATAACTACTACTTGGACAAGCTGAGTAAATGAAGACATCTTTTTTTTTTTTTTTCCTTTTTGTCTTTTTTCGTGACCGGTAACGGGATCGCAACCCTCAGTGTCACGCCTGCACCATGACTGGCAACGGGATCACAACCCTCGGTGTCGCGCCCACACCACGCTCAACCAGTGAGCGGACCGGTCTCTATATGGGATCCGAACCCTCGGCGGGAGCGCTGCCGCACTCCCAAGCACCGCACTCTACCGAGTGCACCACCGGGCCGGCCCTAAATGAAGACATCTTAATGGCATCGGAATTGACTTGCTGTAGTATGAAGGTCATTTCTTTGTTCCTTTCAAAATCTACTTTGAAAATCAAGCTTAATCCTATTAAATTCTATCTGTCCAGTTCTTATAACAATACAATTTGTACCCTGGATTGAATTCTAACAATAGACAGCATTATTTTCTAAATAGCTCTCAAATTACAAGTCTGCAAAGTGAATATATGAAGAAATTTATATTCTCCATGTGCCATTAACAATGATTATTCAATGCACATATTTTAAGGACTACACAATTAAGGCTCAATTATTTAGCAAATATTTAGGTTTATAAAATATACACATATCTGGTCTTAAATTGTTGAAATAATTTTTGAACTTTATCTTGCTCATCCATCAACATTTTCAGTTCTTTAATGGCAGGGCCCATGGGTTGTGTTTCTATCTCTTTTTGAGCCAGACAATGTTGAATTTTAAAAGGTCAGTGTTCATTTTATTTTACATTAGAGATACACAATTAAAAAAAACGTGGCAGGGCCCATGGGTTGTGTTTCTATCTCTTTTTGAGCCAGACAATGTTGAATTTTAAAAAGTCAGTGTTCATTTTATTTTACATTAGAGATACACAATTAAAAAAAACGAAGTGGACTTTAAGAATATATCATTCTCTGCTTCATTCACCAGAAGTTAACATCTCAATCCATATGCAGAGAAGTAATTCGTTCCTGTAGCTATAATTTCATTTTATAGTTAAGAGCCAATGATTTCTAAAACTTTAGTTTTAAAATTTGTTGCAAAGAACTAATTAAAAGAGAAGAGTTGAAATGCTGTTACACAAATTAGCCCCTTCACAGGGTTAGCTCCATGGGGTAGGGGAGATGGCTTTCTTGTATTCAAAGGGAGAGACCTAAAGGACCCAATTGTAGAAGTGAGTCAATTGCTTCTAAAAAGTCAATTAAGTTACCCTAGTAAGATTTTGCTAGATTGTCCCTATCCAACCCTTGACCCCTGAAAGCTCCTTATACACAGAATGAGGGAAGTGTTCCTTTGAGAGCCTAACAAGAACTGTAGCTGCTGTTTGGAAGTATCTGGCACCTAGCTCCAAAAGGACTGTATGTCATCTTGGTTCACCTTACTACCCCTACCCAAAGCTGGTGCTGAGAGAGAGTTTTCCATTTAACACTGTGCCCTAGAAGGACAAGCTCTGCTTTTTAGCTATACCCAATTCACTGACACTGCCTGTAGCACATACTCAACCAAACTGCACAATCAAATTTTACTAAAGTGTGAGGAGAGGTTAGTGATCACATTCAGCCTTTCAGAAATCTCAAACCCTGGGCATTCAGCAACAAACAAGCAGCCAACAAGAGTCAAAGAACCAAAGATTTTATCTCATCTGTGGTGATTCATCAGTTTGTCTCCTTGGAGGACAGGAACTGTTTGGTTGGCTGGCAGTGCTGGGTAAGAGGCCAGCCTTTTAGCATGGACGCTGAGAAGAATGGGAAACCTGACAGGAGACCTAAGCTAGGAAGAAAAGAGAATGGTGTCAGCAATCGAAGTGGTGATAAGAGAGGCAGTAATTGGGGCAGGGAGCACGAGATCCTTTGATACCTTGGACCAGTGACAGGAACAAAAGCAAAGCAGAGGAAAGAAAGCAGAGAGCTGAATGGTGGTGAGGTAAAAGCTTTTAAAATACATATTTAAGCTCTTAGGAACTCCTGTATTTTACACTAGGGTAGCAGCAGTTGGAACACAAGGCAGTTTTCATTAGAATGACCATTTTGTCTCAGTCCATTAGCTAAGAAGGAAAAAGAAAGGTCTTTGAAATTGACTGTATGGAAAGGGATCTGTGGTGCCCAGATGGATCGTTTTCTTAAAAGAACTTTGCTTAGAAATTATTTTTTCTTGCTATAAGCCTGGGGATAGGTTAAAAAGCCTAATTTAGCCTGATGAGAACAGAGACGGGATCATTAAGGCCTTGGTGTCAGGGGAAACAAAGCTGTGAGAATGAGCAAACAAGAGAGAGCAAGCATTACTAAAGAGGGCCTTGCCGACCCTGATGTTAGATCGCCATTGCTATTGCTTAGAAGTGTTACAATGGCATCAGGTATAACCAGAGAGCACACTGATGCAGCCATAGCAATACCAACAGTAACCACAACTACTGCCTCCTGAGCACTTACTATGTGCCAGGTCCTGTGAAAAGTACACTACATGCATTTTCTCTTTTAATCCTTGTGTTGGCCAGTCTCTTTGCCCTTTGACTTCTTCTCTAGCTGGCTCTGTCCTGGTCTGTGTACCAGGAAGTCAAACCCTGCAGGCCGCACCTCCCAGGGCTCATTTGTATCCTGACCGCCATTTTGGTTCAACTAATGGGTGACACCAGCAAGAGATTGGAGGGTGGGATGAGAGAAAGGCTGGGATATTTCTTCCTTACTCCTTCCACGCTTTGGGCTGTATTTCTAGCCTTAGCTGTCTCTCTCACACTATAGTGCCTATGGGTCCTCCCATTTTCCATGATTCCAGGTGACAGTATTTCTTCCCTTTCAGCCTTAGGACGGTAATGAGTTGCTACTGTTGCTTGACCCTGGGTGTCCCACCAACCTTTGCTCCCTCACCCTTGCTCAAACCTCTGTAAGTAATCCATTCATTTGAACCATCTGGGGTGAAGTCAGTTTCCTGCCAAGGCCTGACCAATACAATCATCAAGCAAGCTGAAGTATTATAGTCCCTGTTTTAACTAGCACAAAAAGGCTGGGTGATTTGTCCAGCATCACACACCAAACAAACCCTTATCTGCGTATTTCAGTCTGCATCTGTAATTACCACAGCACACTGCCTGGCCTCTTCATGTAGCCAAAATGATCCCTTTTGAATAAAGAAGGCCTCAGGACTGTTAAGTGGCCAATGAGCAAGTGTCCCCTTGAAAAGCAGGGGCAAAGATCCTCACAAGAAGTAGCAAAGACTGAAGTAGCCCAGCAGTTAGTATAGCACCACCTACAGAGGAGTAGAACCTGCCAGGTGCAGGACATAAACAACTGTGGTTTTATAGATTAGAACCAGAGGTGCCTCTCACTTACTGCATTGCGTGCACAGGTGTGCATTTCCCAGGCCCCCATTTCACCTGTAATATTTACTGAGTCTCTATTATAGTCCAGGCACTGAGGATAGGTGTTGGGGGTAAAAGGTGGTTAAAAGTTAAGGTTTAGGGCCGGCCCAGTGCGCCGCTTGGGAGTGCGGCGGCGCTCCCGCCGAGGGTTCGGATCCCACATACAGA